CATGTGTCAATAGGCAATTCCTTTTGATTGCTGAGTAATATTCCATGGTATGGATATACCACAGTTTGTCTGACCATTTACCTCTTGAACCTCTTGAAGGACACTGGGGTTGTCCAGATACTGGCTCTTATAAATAAAGTTGCTGTAAACGTTAATGTAAAGGTCTTTCTATGAACATTAAGTTTTCTTTTCTCTGGGATAAATGCCCAGAACTGCAATTTCTGGGTTGTATGGTTAAGCACACACAATCCAGAAATTTAGTTTAGTTTTGTAAGAAACTGCCACACTGAGCAGAGCAGCTATACCATTTTACATTTCCACCAGCAATGTATAAGTGATCCAGTTTGTCAACAAGCATTTGGAGTTATCACTATGTTTTAAATTTAGACATTCTGATAGATGAGTAGTGATTTTAGTTTTAATTTGCATTTTCCTAATGGCTAATGAAGTTGAAGATCTTTTCATGTGCTTATTTGCCATCTGTATATTCTCTTTGGTGAAATGTCTGTTCATGGATTTTGCCCATTTTCTTACTGGATTGTTTGGGATTTTTTTTTTTTACACTGTTGAGTTTTAAGAGTTCTTCACATATTCTAGATACAAGTCTTTTGTCAGATACATACTCTACAAATATTGTCTTCCAGTCTGACACTTTCCTTTTTATCCATCTCACGAGGTCTTTCACAGAGCAAGTTTTTCACTTTAATGATGTTCCATTTATCATCTTTCCTTTTATGGATAGTGCTTTTGGTATAAAGTCTAAGAACACTTTGTCTAGCCCTAGATCCCCCAAATTTTCTCCTACGTTTTATTTTCTGAGGGTTTTATAATTTACATTTTGTACTTAAATCTGTAATCAATTTTGAGGCTTTTTACGTTTTGCTGAGTTTTTCTGGTCTAACCCATGAAGTTTACGTCAAGGGTCATTTTTTTCCCTTTGGATGTCCAATTTCTCCAGGACTATTTGTTAAAAAGGCTAGCCTTCTTCCATTGTTCAGGGGTTTTTTCCCACTTATCTTTATGTGGTAAAATATATATAACATAAAATTTGTCATTTTAAAACTATTTTTAAGCATACAATCTGGTGGCATTAATTACATGCACAATGTTATGCAACCACGACTATGATCTATTTCCAAACCTTTTTATTACTCCAAACAGAAACTCTGTACCCATTAAGTAATAATTCCTCATTCCTCCCTTCTCCCAGCCCCTGGCACCTCTAATCTACTTTCTGTCTCTATGAATTTGCCTATTCTATATATTTCATATAAATAGAATCATACAATATTTATCCTTTTTTGTCTAGCTAGTTTCACTTAGCATAGTGTTTTTCAAAGTTCATCCATATTGTAACACACATGTTGTAGCAGACTTTATTCATTTTTATGGCTGAATGATATTCCACTGTATGTATCTACCACATTTTATTTATCCATTCATCCGTTGATGGATGCTTGGATTGTTTCCAGCTTTTGGCTACTGTGAATAATGCTGCAAAGAACAATGGCATATAAGTATCTGTTTGAGTCCCTATTTTCAATTTTTGGGGGTATATACCTAGGAGTGGAATTGCTAGTTCATATGGTAATTCTATGTTAAGGTTTTTGAGGAAGTACAAACTGTTTTCCACAGTGGGAGACCATTTTACACTTCCACTAGCAATGTGCAAGGTTTACAATTTCTCCACATCCTTATTTATGTCATTGATCCATTCGAGTTGATTTTTATATATGGTGTGAGGCAGGGGTCACTGAATTGCCTTGCATCTATGTCAAAATCAGTTGGTATCAAGAAAACATAAGAACCCACATAATGGAACAAAATTTTTGCAAATCACATATTAAATAAAGGTGACCTCTTCTTTAATTCATCGATTATTTAGAAGTGGATTTATTTGGTTTCCAAGTGTTTGAAGATTTTCTTGTTGACTTCATTACCAATTTCTAGTGTGATTCTATTGTGCTCAGAGAAAGTATTCTGTATGATTTCAGTACTTTTAAATTTGTTCAGGTTGGTCTTATGGCCCAGGATATGACCTATATTGATATATTTTCTGTGGACACTAGAAAAGGATATGTCCTCTGCTATTCTTGGGTTGAGTGTTCTATAAATGTCACCTAGGTCCTGTTGGTTGATGTTGTTGTTCAGATATTCTTTATCTTTTATGGTTTTCTGTTTAGTAGTTGTATCAATTACTAAGAGAAGGATGTTGTAGTCTTCAACTATAGTTATGATTTATCTATTTCTCCTTTTAATTTTGTCTAGTTTTTGCTTCATGTATTTTGAAGCTCTGTTCTTGGGTTCCTACACATTTAGAACGTCCTCTTGATGAATTAACTTTTTTTTTTTTATCATTATGTAATGTCCTTCTTTGTCTCTGGTGATTTCCTTTGCTCTGAAGTCTACTTTGTCTAACATTAGTATAGCAACTCCAGCTTTGATTAGAATTTGCATAGCATATTTTTTCACTGTTTTATTTTTAACCTACCTATATAAGAAGTGAATTTCTTGTAGACAGCATATAGTTGTGCCATATTTTTAAAATCTTTTCTGCCAGTCTCTGTCCTTTAATTGGTAGATTTAGATCATTTACATTGAATATATTTATTGATATGTTAGGATTTAAGTCTGCCATTTTAATATTATTTTTATGTTTGTTCCCTCTGATTTTGTTCCTGTGTTTCCTTTTTCTGGTTTTCCTGTTGGTTATTCAAAATTTTTATCTATGGTCTTTTTTAGTATATCTCTTTGTATAATATTTTGGTGTGGTTGCCCTAGATATATATATCCCTAACTTAGTACATTCTAATAGCGTCAACATTCTACCATTTCAAGTAGAATGTAGAAACCTAAACACTTTTTAGGTCCCTTTACATTACCCCCCTTCCTTTATGATATAATTGTCTTAAATCTCTTAAAATATATTGAGACCCACATCAGACAATGTTAGGATTTTTGCTTTTAATCATCAAACATAATTTTTAAACTCTGGAGGAAGAGAATTGTCTATTGTATTTACTTATATATTACCCTCTCTGTTGCTCTTTTTTTATTTCTGACATTCCAAGATGACTTTTTCCTCCATTTTATTGAGATATAGTTGACATATAACGTTGTATTAGTTTTAGGTGTACAACATAATAATTTGATATATGTATACAAGTTTACTTTTTTAATCATTTTCTTTTGTCTAAAGAACTTCTATTTCCATTTGTTTCTTCCTTAGTCCTTCTATTTCTTTGCTAAGAATTTCTACATTTTCATTTGTTTAATGAGTGCTCATAAATGTTTGTTGGAGACATTTTATGATAGCTGCTTTAAAATACTTAGATAGTTTCAACATCTGTTTCTCTTGATGTTGACATCTATTGATTACCTTTTCTCATTTAAGCTGAGATTTTTGTAGGTTTGGTAGGACGTAAAACTTTGGATTGTATCCTGGGCATTTTGAGAGTATTATGAAATTCTGGTTCCTCTTTAAATCTATTTTAACAGATAGTCAACATGTTTAGGTTCACGACACATGTCCTGGCCCATGTTTCTTGGCTGTGGTTCAAATACCAATTTAGTTTTCAAAGGCTTTACAGTGCTTTTCTGGCCTTTCCCACTAGGTGCTACCCAGAGGTCAATCTAAAACCTGGATGGTGTTCCAGATCAACGTTCAGTTATCAAATCTTCTGCTGTGTTGTGTCTGTGTGGTTTCATGCATGGGTTACACAAAGATCTGCCCAGGATTTTACATACAAGTTTTAAAAATCCTGTTTTCCAGCATGGCAATTCTTCAGAAAATTAAACACAGAATTACTGTATGATCCAGCAATTCCACTTCTGGGTATATACCTCTCAAAAATGAAAGCAGGGTCTTGAAAAGATATTTGTAGGGGGCCGGCCTGGTGGCACAGTAGTTAAGTTTGCACACTCCGCTTCAGCAGCCCAGGGTTCACCGGTTCGGATCCCAGGTGTGGACCTATGCACTGCTTGTTAAGCCATGCTGTGGTAGGCGTCCCACATATAAACTAGAGGAAGATGGGCACAGATGTTAGCTCAGGCCCAGTCTTCCTTGACAAAAAAAAAAGAAAAGAAAAAAAGAGGAGGATTGGCAGCAGATGTTAGGTCAAGGCTAATCTTCCTCAAAAAAAAAGACAGAAAAGAAAAGATATTTGTACACTCATGTTCATAGCAGCATTATTCAAAATAGCCGAGAGATGGAAGTAATCCAAATGTCCATCAGCAGATGAATGGATAAGCAAAATGTGGTATATACATATAATGGAGTATTATTCAGCCTGAAAAAGGAAGGAAATTCTGACATATGCTACATCATGGATGAACCTTAAAAACATTATACTAAGTGAAATAAGACAGTCACAAAAAGAAAAATATTATATGATTCTACTTATGTGAAGCATCTAAAGTAGTCAAATTCATAAAAACAGAAAGTAGAATGGTAGTTACCAGGTGCTGAAGGGTAGGGGAAAAAGGGGAGTTGTTGTTTAATGGGCATAGAGTTTCCTATTTGTAACATGAAAAAGTTTTAGAAATGTGTTTCACAACAATGTGAATATACTTAACACTACTGAATTGTACACTTAAAAATTATTAAGATGGTGAATTTAATGTGTTTAACACAATAAAAAAAGAAGAAGAAAGGAAGGAAATTCTGACATATGCTATAATATAGATGAACCTTGACATTATGCTAAGTGAAATGAGCCAGACACAAAAGGAAAAACATTGTATGATTCCACTTATATGATATAACTAGAGTAGTCACATTCAGAGAGCTAGACAATAGAATAGTGGTTGCCAGGGCCTGGGGGGAGGGGAGATAAGGAGTTATTATTCAATAGATACAGTTTCACTTTGAGAGGATGAAAAAGTTCTAGAGATGAATGGTGGTGATGGTAGCAAAACAAGGTGAATGTTCTTAATGCCACTGAACTATATATTTACTATATTTACTATATATTTACCAAATAGCAAAATGTTTTCCCTACCTTAAGTATACGTCAGTCTCCAGCCCAAAAGCCCTGTGTTCAACAGCTTTCTCAAAGGACATCATGGTATTCTCAGGCCCCAGCTGTGGAAGAAAAGGACATCAGGCCCTATACGTCAGATCTCTCCTCTCAACATCCCTTTTATGGTAGGGAGGGATCCCAGTAATGAAAGGGCTTTATGAAGCAGAGTTTGGCTCCCTCGGCTCTTTTTTCAAAGAGACTGCCTATATTCTCCTCTACCCAATCTGATTCTGGGACTCTGCTCATCTGAGGCAATGTCACTGGGCACAGTAAAGAGAAATGGACTGAGAGTTAGGTGACTTAGGTTCAAGTCCAATCTCTACAATTAACTCTTTATTCTTGTCATTTCAAGCCAACCCCTTTCCTCTCCACAGGTTCTTAGGGTTCTGAGGTCTCCTTCTCTCATCCACATACCCTATGCATACTTGTACTCACCCATGCCCATAAAGCTCAGACCTACCATGGGTGCACCTCTATGTCCAAAGATGTCTGGCTTGGGTCCCAATTTATCCTTCTCCTGAATGCAGGGAGAGTAAATCCCCAATGGGACCACATAGAGACATAAAAGGATAAGAAAAAAGGGCAATCCAATAGCCACTTGTAGAGCTGAAAAAGTTGGAAGGAGGGGGAAGTGAGGAAAAAAAGGAAAAGGGGAACGAAGAACCATCCCAAGCAACTAACTATCCCAAAGGAGCAGGCAGTAAAACACCCAGCCCCTGGTTTCATTGACTCTGTGGACTACTGATTTACTCTATACTTCTGTCACATCCGCACTTACTTTCAGTGATTTCAAAGTACAGGACTATCCAAATATAGCATTATTATTAAGGCAATATTGTTGGAACTGTAAATTTACAAGGGACTGTGCAGGAGGTGGGAAGGGAAGCAAGGAAAGGGAATGTTAAGAAATACCTTCTCAGAAGGAGGAGTACTTTGGCTGGTTCTGAGAAAGCCTGGAAAGATAAGCCTGTAAAGATCAGCCTAAAACGCCCCTATATTTACGGCAGTACAGTATAGTAGAAGGGTTACTGGTTGACAGAAATCTGAATTCAAAGCCAAACTCTACCACTTGCTAATTGTGAGACTAAGGCTGTGCTGCTTAACCTCTCTGGGTCTTCATTTTCTTCTCTGAAAAATGCGGCCATCTTGCTGCTAAGATCCACCTCATAGAGGTGATAAGACAGTGTTGACTTATAATAGGTATTGAATAACTATTAGGTATTTGCGTCTCTCTCTCTCTCTGTTACACAGACACACACACACACACAAACACACAGCCTGTCCACAATACCTGTTATCACTGGCCATTCCTTAACACTTACTATTTTAGACCTCTAAGGATTTGACCCATTTGCACATTTTTAAGTTTCCACCCAGGCTTCAGTCACTTTCAAATATAGATCTCCAGCTCTAACCTCTCAATTTTGCGAGTCTATCACATCTCTTGACTCTTCTTCTCTCACGACTTGTCATCTTGTATTTTCTGATTCTAGCTAAAATTTAATAAAGGAAAAAGAAAAGAGCTCATTATTGTCCCCTTTAAGCTCTTGCCCAGAGACACTTCCTAAAATTCATCCTCCACATGCATATACACACATTACAAACACAATAGCAACACGACCAATCCAGTCTTTCTCTTGCCTGAATCCTTGCACAAGTCAGGAAGCAAACACTCCTTGTTTAACCAATAGTAAAAAGAGACACACAGAGAAAACAAGATCCTACCGGTTTCACAATAAGGGTGCTGAGAAATAACTCCATTCTCAAAACAATTTAGTGTATAGCTCTGATTCTCTTTTGTTTCCATGATATTAGAGGAAAGAATGGAGAGGAAACTAGCCTCAGAGGTAGACATTTCTGCAGGGGCCTGCTTTGGGTTACTAGGACGTAACCAGGATTATCTGGACCTAGTATAAGTTCATTAGTTAAAACTAATAATATATAAATACAAACTAAAAGAACTGTGACTTGTACCATCACTCTGGTTAAATAAAATTAAAATGGCCTCTACTACCCACCCCCCAAGTCCATTCCCAGATAGTCAATGTGTAACAAAACACAGAAAATTCTTATTTTTCTAGAAGGAGAATCCCTCTTTAGAAGACCTGTTTGGTCAGGGAAATGCTGTGACAGGCCACGTAGGGTTGTGAGTTTGACCACAAGAAGCATGCCTGAGTAACAAGCTAAATGAATTTCAAATAGGCACAGTGGTGACTATCTACCAATTTTGTGTTTTGTTGAGCAGACTATGCAAGCTAAAGTCAGAGTTAAAACGATCAGGCAAGGTTCCACCCACGTGACATACCTTCTCTTTCCAAATGGATTAAGTAGAAGGCCACAGGCCAGGAAATGAGAACCATCACAGGTATGCTGCTCAGGTGTATGTAGGGAGCAAAGACCTGGGAGGAAGCCAAAAGTCAGGCTGAACACATCTGGACAGACAGGGCCAGACCTACAGGATGACGCTTACCTTCAGTGAAAGCCCAGCTGTCAACCACCTGTCTTTCCAGTAAACGCTTAAAATCCACATAAAAAACGAGGATAGCAGAATCACTAGCAGAGTCAGGATCTAGGGAAACAGAAAGAATCCCCTTACTTCCAGGCACTAGGCTTGGATCAGAACTGTCCTTGAGAATTGTACTTGTGTCCCCACAATGTCAAGGACCTCATTTCCTCATCCTTTTAATCTAACCATCTTACAAATGCCCAATATTGGATGGATCCAATTATTCACCTTCTTTGCTTCCAAGTCTTTGTTGTATAGCATGGCTAGAAAAAAATTACACAGCTATGTGGTCTGATGCCTTTACTAATTTATCATCTCTAACCTCACCTGGGGACTCAATATTGCTTAGGGTCTCTCACTCAGTTTTAACAATGGCCATTACAAATATTTACCACTTGTTTACATGACTCAATGCAATCACAAGTAATTAATATTTTGCAATTTCCTTTTCAATGTATGTTTTCCCCAACAGACTATAAGCTTCATGAGGTCAAGGACAATATTTGTTTATGATTATATCCTCACTGCCTCACAGAATGTCTGACACACAGTAAGCATCCAATAAACATTGTTGAACAGATGAAAAAATCTGCCTGCCAGAACACTATTTCATAGAGAAAGAACACTGAGACCAAGAAGACATATCTTTAATCTCTTCCCCTTTGAATGTATAGTTTTTCTACATCTGTGTTGTCCTCTAAAGAGTGCTTAGTTCTCTCCTTTCTCTAATTTCTGGATCTATTAAAGTAACTGAATCCATAATTAAATCTTCTCACAAAATAATTCAGGCCTTACTGGCTTCAACGGTTAATTTTACCAAACATTCGAGAAAGAAATACTTCCAATCTTTAACAAACTCTTCCAGAGAATAGAAAAAAGATGGAACTTATCTTATGAAGCCCATAAAACATTGATACCCAAATTCAACAAAGGCATTACAAGAAAGAAAAGGTGTAGGCCAATCTCTCCTATGTACCTAAATGCAAAAATATTAAAACCTATTAGCAAACCAAATATATCACAACATAAAGGTTTAATGGTCAAATCAGACTCATATGAATCTCATGCAATTCTGTGATCTTACCCAACACCAAACTTTACTAATGATTTAAAGGATACAGGCAATTAGGTACAGATAAAACATTTTCCTTTGGTGAAATCTGATCCTGTCAAATGCAGCTACTCATAAAAAGATCTTTCCTCTCCTATATTACAATACACTTTGGTCTTGGACTTAAAATGTGTGGTGTGTTTTGCGCAAAATATGTCAAAACATTGCTTCACAGAAGGAGCTTTTTTTGGTTATGGAGCATCCTTATCTTATATCCCATTAATTATACAACTCCAGGCAGCCATGTCTCCCACCCTACAAATCTATAAATTTCACGTTTATTCACAATAAGCAACCCAAACATACCAGGTTATATCCTGATAGAAATTTTCATAGATAAGGATTCTCCATTAATTTTTGGCTAATAAATATCTTTAGTGCGTTTACCAGGAGGTTGGGTTATTAGCATGTTTACAAGAAGTTTTGATTAAGGTCATTCATTCCTTTCTGAGCACCACGAGCTAGAAGGGGAATGGGTTATGGGCTGCTGCTAACCCTCTCCTTCTGGGTTTACTGAGTACACTAAAACTGAAACTCTAAGCCCCACAGAATCTCCCTTGCCAATAGAAGCAGTCTCTCTTTTCAAGTCTGATAAGCCTAGTCCTTCATGGTTTGAAGGCTCAACCAAGGTAGTTTCCTTCCAAGGGGATGCCAACTCTTCTCATATTCCACCTCCATCATTTCTCATTACCTACAGACTCATCGCTGGAATTAGATCCCAGAATGCCTCAAGAGATAAAGGCTTGTTAACTTATATTGACAAAAACCCTGTAGAATATGTGTGAGAATGAATCCTAAGGGTGCCAGACAAAGAGAAAAGAAAATAATTTTAGATCAGGCTAAATTTATTGACACAAGTGCACTTGCCAGAGATTCTGAATTCAATATACCAGAATCCAGATATTATGCAATCTTTAAGTGGTTCTAATTGTTTGTTTGGCTCAATAGTGGCCCATGCTTAAAGAAATTGAGATGCCAGCAATTTCTTGGTATAATACTGAAGAAAGAATCCAAAGATTCATTGAGAAAAGGTTGCTGGAATGCTATTACCTGTGATCAGCTAACTTACTCCCTATCATGTTCTATGGGAGGACACAGAAAAACACTCTAGTGAGGAAAGTGTCAGAATCCTTGAAAAGCATTGTAGTGGCTATCCTCCATGCCTGAATAAAGGTGAGAGATGCTGCCATTGAAACTGGCTTCCAGATTTCAAAGGGAATGATCAGGTCCTGCTGTGGCAAAGGCTAAGTACCAGCACCAACTGCCAAAGGCAAGCTAAGCACAGTTTCTATAATAGACACAAGCCTGGAATGGTAATCGGAATGGTTTAACCCATAGGGATTCTTGGTAGTGACTAACTGATCACGGTGTCTCAACTCCAAAACAGGTGGTGATCTCAATAAGGCCTATTTGTTCACTTCTAATCTACATTTTTTCCCTATAAAATCTTATGACTTAATTTCCATCTGTTCTAATAACTCTTAAATTTATATTTCCAGTTCATACTTCTCATTTGAGTAAGAGAAAATTTAAGGGGACCTCTCAGAGAGTTTGACATGTTTCTGAATTTGAGAAAACACAAGGAATGGTATCAAAACAATGCCTGAAAAGAGTCTGTAAAAAAGCAAGAGGTTGTGGCTGGAGCTGCTCAAACCCATAGCAGAACAAAATGAGGGAGGATATGTTGGAAATGAGCTGTATGTCCACAGCTGTATGTCCAAAGATGCCTGCTTTCTGGGGACTAGATATGGATCCTTTAAGAGAAACAATGCAGGTGTCATTTTAGAGGGTTCCAAACTAAGGGAAGATCAAAAGGACCTCAACAGAGAAATTTCAGGGAGCATAGGAAGACAGGCATTGACTCCACCAAGAGTTGCAGTCAAGGTTCTCAGCAGAAGGGTCTCTGAAAATACACATAGAAAAAGCCCATGGGGTAAGGAGCCAACAACTGAGCATTTACCTGGTGCTGATGAAATCAACCCCAAATGACCCTTCTGCCTTTCCTTGAGGGACTGTCTTCTTTCATCCGATCTCCTTTCCCCGGGCCCTCCTCTGGTGGAAGAGAGGTAAAGGACCATCGTGCTCTCTCCACCACCGCAGGATTTCACGCCCAAACAGAGGAGGGGAAAAGTCTTATAAAACTGGAGTTTGGGTTATTACAATGAACTGAAATCTTTAATGACTGAAATGAGAATGTTCTTGTGCCTATAAAGGACTGGGAAAGTAAGGGGACTTGCCTAAGATTTTATTGGGATAGGAAGAACAGAGTCACGGAGTGAGTTTAACAAGGAGTGGTTACAAAAAATAAAGTTTGGGTTCAGCTCCTTCAGTAAATCAGTTAAATCTATTAGAAATTTAATGATTTCAGTTAAAACAATATAAGTAGATCTCTTCTTTCTAAGGGGAACAATGAAAGAAAGGGCAACTATGTACTTAACACTGAGTGCCAAATAGGCACATTTAGTCCTGGTATAAGGTCTCCTAAGAAGATTCAGATGTCCTACCTTATGAAACCAGTGCAGCTGTAGATCATGCCTCCCATCCCAAATCAACAAAAATCCAAGTATCTGAAAAAGCAAAGAAAAAGGACGTTATTTTGAAATTACCAAGTTGCTGCCCAGAGCACTGTTCTGTATCTCAAAATTCCTTTCACAGTCTAGCACTACATTCACTTCTTGCTATACCTGCACTATTCAGCCTCCGGGTGTTTGTCATGCTGTTCCTCTGCCTGAAAAGCTCTCCCTCTCCACGACACTTACCCTTCAAAGCCAGTTTAAATTCCTCCTATTGTAACTTTCACCAGCACGCTCAGGAAGAGCTAATTATTACCTTCTCTGGGATTTCATAACAATCACCACACTGATACCCTACCTGAAGTTCCTACCAATTTCTTTTCCTTGTGATGGATCTCATTCCTGGTATTACTTAGACCCACTTGTGAGAGAACAGAGGTCTGGGGCCAGCTCTTCCAATGGTCATTTAAAAGCTCTTTCTCGAGGAACCAGTGCTGTTGTTACAACTGTTATTCACCATCATTAACACTGGTATTCAGTCAATAAATATCAGTTAGATAGGAATCTAAATCCAGTCAGTCACCAAATCAGTGTGGAGTTGGAAACTGAAAACTGGAGTCCTCAGATGCTTAGAATGTTACTGAGAGTTTGAATGTATAAGACACTTACCTTTTTATCAAAATAGTTTTATGTGTATGATTTCATTTGTTCTTTACTCAGCCCTATAAAATACCATTTTATTAAATATTTTTATTATTCTCACTTGAAAGAAAAGAAACTAAGGCTCAGAAGTTATATGACTTGACCAAGGCTACAAAGTAACCTAAAGATAGAGCTGGAAATAGAACCTAGGTCTCTCTCTTTGTTCACTGTTGTTGTCATTGAATGAATCCAAAAAGAGGTATGGTAAAGTAGAAAGTTTATTAAAATACATTGCCTTATTGGACACTAGAACTCATTCCCACCTTAGAAGCTAATTAAACCATTTCATATTTATTATGGATGAAAGCACTATAATTCAGTGGGCAGAGTCTGGCCCAGAGCATATCCTTCATCTACTTTTTCCCCATTAAAAGGAAAAGTTTAAGTGGTCTCTCTACCTAAAGGCACCTTCCATACTACAACTTCTAGGATGATTTTCCTAAAAAAGAAATCTGATTTATACCAAATGTCTTAGCCTTACTTTCCAGGCCTTCCAAAATCTGCCACAAGCCTATCTTTTTAGCCATGTCCCCATTAATACTTCATTATGCCCTACATGCTAACAGAACTGACCCTTCTTTCTTATGTAGTCACACCCCATATTTTTCTAACTTGCCAACTTTGTTATGATGTTCCCACAGCCTGGAATGTTCTTCCCTATCCTCATATACACATGTCCAAATCCAACATCCCTTCAAGATCCCACTCCAATGCCACTTCTTTCAAGAAGCCTTACCTAATCTTCTTGGCTGGAAATCACCTCTTCCTTCTCAGAACCCTTGCAGAACTTTATTTAGGCCTCTCTAATGACAATTATAATGCTCTGCGTGTGTTAATTATTTTTGTCTATGACTTAGTCACCCTACTAGATTGCAAACTCATTGAATTAAGGGACTATTGTAACTTTATAGCTCATACCTATCTCTTTGATGTGCTCTGCATGAAAACAGAAACTGCAAGTGTTTTGTTGATCTCTGTATACTCAATATTTATTATTCATGTAATGATTAATAAATTTTATTGAAAGAAAAATTAATGCAAATGGCAACTGATTTAGGAGTTGGGTTCTTCTGTATCAGACAAGAAATCAGTGGGGACAAGGAATTTTGAAATCAGAGAAAGATACATATAAAAACTCCACTGACCTGAAAGTTATCCTCCCATAAGCTTTCCACTTCCACAGACTTTTCTCTTGCCTGGCCCGAATTTCTCACACTCCATGACATTATTAGGAAATAGAGGCAGAGTCACTATTGCCAAAAGACTTCTGCTAAAATGTACTTTGCACCTAGACTAGGGGACTAGCACTTGCACATCAGAACAGGTTTAAAAAACCAGCTAACTTGTAAGGCCCAGAAAGACTGATTCTCAGGAGGTGGGATATCAAATGAGGTAGTTCAATGTGTATAAGTACTGCTAGTGTGAAGCCGTGAGTGTCTAAAATGACAATACTGAATGAACCATAAAATAGGCTATGAAACATGGGAATAGAAAAAGGAGGTTCTGCCACTCATTCAAAGGGTCAAAGTGGTAAGACACATCCTTTAACAGCACAAGACTTTTTTCCCTCCATCTATCCATCATGCCTAAAATTCAAGCAGCTGATGTAAACCCCAACTCTGATAAAACAAGAGTGATCTTAGGTTCTGGAGGCTCCCAGGACCAATTAGGTCCCATCCCACGACTGGAGCACCTCATGAGGCTACTCAGGAAGCGGGTGGGAGAAATGGGAAACATTACTCACCAACAGCAATGTAGAGTAGGCAGTCAGGATCCCAAAGAAACTCAGTAAAAGAATGGAACAGTAGAACCAGTTTCCTGTACCTAGAAAAACAACCCTGCAAAAATGTGTTTCAATCTTTAAAATATAGCAGAAATTAGCAGCACCTATGTCAAGGATGGGGGACAAGACTGGACTAGAATAGGAATAAGAAAATGGAGGTAGATAAGAAGAGAGGCAATTTGGGAACATAACTGTGAAAAGCTTTGGGGATATCTAGCTGAGGAGTTTTAACTCTGTCCTAGGCAATTGGGTACTCTAACATGGGTCTGCATAAGTTGTGTGATTTTTTTGGGGGGTGGGGGGTGAGGAAGATTGGCCCTGTGCTAACATCTGTTGCCAACCTTCCTCTTTTTGCTTGAGGAAGATTGTTGCTGAGCTAACATCTGTGGCACTCTTCCTCTACTTTGTATATGGGATGCTGCCATAGCACGGGTTGATGAGTGGTGCATAGATCTGTGCCCAGGATCCAAACCTGCAAATCCCAGGCTGCTGAAGTGGAGTGTGCAAACTTAACCACTATGCCACCAGGCTGGCCTCAGCCATATGTTTTTTAAAGTTATTTACAATATATAATCAAAAATTATGTCCTCTTTAAAAAACAATATAATAATACTGAAATTCTGGAATGCCAAAAGAGAAAAAAGTCATCCATAAGTTTACCACCTTCCATTTTGGCAGGTTTCTTGTCCATGTGCGTGTATTTTTTCTTACATAACCACCATCATAGCCACCATATTAATTGCTCTATTCTGTGTAAGAGATTTGGGTCCTTTAAAAACAATGCTGATATGTGCCTAAAGAGTTTATGAGAGAGTAGCAAATCTTAATGATTTGCTAAGAGAAATACTGTTATACTTGCTCTAGGTATTATATATCAAAGAATTTAGACTCTTCATTTCAAGATAAGAGAAATTACCTCCTCTCCATATAAAATCTGGAGAAATTATATTTTAACAATGGAAAATATAGATTAGTGAATAGATAACCACATTAAAAATAAGAAAGGAAATTCTCTTTGGTCAGGCGCCATAAGACACACCACAAAGAAAGGGAAGTAGCCATCCTAGTGAGAGCAATCCCAGATCGAGACACTGGGAAAAGTACTCTGTATATGATAAACTCACAACCAGGAATAAGAAAACGTGTAAGGAATGTCAACAAATGAACCCAATAAAGCCAACAAATAGAATAAATTGTACCCAAGAAAATATAAATAATAGAACAATCAGAAAAGAATCACAAAATAAATATATTTAAGGTCTTCAGAAAAATAAAGGAAGGACTCACAGCCACATAACAAGAACAGGATGTTTAAACCCAAGTACAGTGATCAATCAAAAAGAGATCTTGAAAAGAAAAACATGAAAGGTGGACTTAATAGCAGTCTAGATACAGCCAAAGAGCTAATCAAACAGCTTAACCAGTGGTGATACTGACTTTGCTTTCCAAGTGAGAAAGAAAAGCTACGGTTTGCCATTTAATGATGCCTCTATCTTTTCTAATCATTTCTCTGGCCACATCAGATTTTTTTTCATTCCCTTTCAACCTACATCGTCTTTTGTATATTCAATCACATATAAATATCATTATCAGTTTAGTTCAGTTCAACACTCAGGTGAAGTTGCCACCCACCTGCTGTGAACTGCAGGCAAGTGAACTGTGATTTTTTCGCTCTTTTTCTCTCTCCCTCTTCCACTTCTTCCTATCACATTCATTTGTACTCACTCTCGTGATGGTGATGGTAACAAAAGGGAGTGAGAAGAATGAAAATGAGTTTAAGTTACTGACTACACACCAGTGGGAACTGAAAAAGGAAGTCTTGGCCATTACTTCTTTAAACTGGGAACATACAGATGCTGATGACTGTACTGTAGGCTCTCTCTACACGGATTGTCCAATTGGGGCTTCTTCTGACTTAGTATTTTCCAGCAGTTTTCTCTCTGCTTTGGGCCACTGTTTTACATCCCTCTAGCAGCATAATCATACCCCACTTTTGGATGAAGCCCTTCTCATGCAACAGAGACAGCCTTCTTGGGGCAGCCTAGTCAATGCAGTCTCCTTATCTAAATGCACATTCTCTGTACTAATGTTTAAAGAAATCTTCCAGGAACCCTTCCTTGTTTTCCCATAGCTGCAAGATGCAGCTTTCTTGCATCTTCTGCCAATACATACCCTACATACTACAATGCTTTATATCAGCACCACCAATTGTCAGCTGACAGTAACTCTGCAGAAAAAAAGACACATTGTGGTGAAGCATTGGGAACTTCACATAGCAAGAAATGGGGAGACAAGTCTAACCCCACAACACACACAGCAAGGGACAAAAGAGAAGTGACAGTTACCCCAACAAAAATTCTACTCTACCTCTCTCTAGCTAAAGGGAACTAGAAAAGCTGGACAATATGTTTTTAAAAATCTAAATGAAGGCATCAGAGAGCCAACAGACAGGGAAGAACTACAGAACAAAGATCCAAATAAGAGAGGAAACACAGAGACATAACTTAGCATTTGGGGTAATTTTTCTCTAGAAGAAGTGGCTGAGATACAGACAGGAAGGCTTCCTGTATCTTGCAGGACTAGGAGGACAAAAGGGGAGAAAGGTAATCTTGTAAACACTATTATATACTTTGATTTGGGACCTTCCAGTGCTACATTCTAAGAATAAGCACAAACTAGAAATAGACAGCTTTTGGGGGACTGAATCCTAGCTTTGAACCATCCAAATGTGTGAAATTGGATTAAAGCAAATAGGATTTGCTAATACCCCTAGTTACCTGTCAGAGTAACTCTCTAACAGGACATAATGTAATTCAAGGTTTCAAATTACATATACAACATTTTTTTTTTTTTTAAGATTTTTTTTTATTTTTTCCTTTTTCTCCCCAAAGCCCCCCGGTACATAGTTGTATATTCTTCGTTGTGTGTCCATCTAGTTGTGGCATGTGGGACGCTGCCTCAGCGTGGTTTAATGAGCAGTGTCATGTCCGCACCCAGGATTCGAACTAACGAAACACTGGGCCGCCTGCAGCAGAGCACGCGAACTTAACCGCTCGGCCACGGGGCCAGCCCCTACATATACAACTTTTTATATACAATGTCTGGCGCTCAAGCAAAAACAATCAGGCACATTAGGAAAGGAGACCACATTAGTGAATGTCAAAAGAAACAATGCACAACATAAAAAGATTTTCGGCAAATCTAGATAATAGAGGTATCAGATACAGACTTCTAAATAACTATCCTTAAAAGGTTTAGACTAAGAAAAAATTAAAAATTTCAGTAAAGAACTACTAAAAAGAGGACCAATTAAGAATTCTAGAAAAGAAACTATAGCAACAAAAATTAAGAACTCACTGAATGGATTTAAAAGCAGGTAAGAGAGAGCTGAAAAGAATTTGTTAAATAAAAGATAGGCCAGAAAAAATTAAGAATGAAACAGACACCTGAGAAAAAAACAGACAAAAAGGGATAAAGAAAAAAGGTCTCATATACATAAAACTGAAGTCTCAAAAGTAGAGGTGGTAAGGGCCAGCCTAGTGGCATAGTGGTTAAGTTCATGTGCTCTGCTTCTGTGGCCCAGGGTTTGCAGGTTCAGATCCTGGGCACAGACTTAAGCCGCTCATCAAGCCGTCTGAGGCAGTGTCTCACACACAAAATAGATGAAGATTGGCACAGATGTTAGCTCAGTGACAACTTTCTCAAGCAAAAAGAGGAAGATTGGAGTGACATCAGCATCACAGTGGAGTGAGGTCTGTCATAAATCTTCCCCCACCCATATACAACAACAAAAAAATCCACACTCCAACAGAGGACATCCAAACTCAACACAAAAAACATCAGAGAGATCCATGCAGCCATACAACGGAGGACGGAGAGGCTGGAGCCCCCCTCGGAGGTGGAACGGGGTAAGAGAAATCTTCGCTCCCTCCCCTAAAGACTGCGATCCACGACTGCAGGAGGCCTCCTAGAGGGAAGGAACGGGGGAGGGGATGTTCCATTGTGGGAACTTCAAGGACTCCCTAGGGCCCTTGCAGCCTAAAGGGAAGCCCTCTACCAGGGTGAAAGCTTTCGTGGGAGACGACCTTATCAAGCCAACACCCCAGGAGAGCAGAGGGAGAAAACCCCAAGAGCACACAAGAGAAAGTGCCCCTCCCTCCACCGGCTCAGCGTGGCTCCAGCCCCTGAGATTTTGGCTGAAGGCAGAGGGCTCAGGATACGTGGCTCTTGACCCCCACCCAGTGGTGATAGGCAGTATCTGTGACCAAATAACGCCAGGCTGCAAAAGAACCAAGCCACTCCCTCTAGCAATATCAAACATTATATTAGATCTCTAGACCAGAGAGAAATGACAAGTACCCAGAAATCAGTGCTGAGGATGCAGAAATATGTAATCTAAATGACAAAGAATTCAAAACAGCTATCATCAAAAAACTCAATGAAGTAAAAGAGAACGTAGAGAAACAATTCAATGAGTTCAGGAGCTATATCACAAAAGAGACTGAAACTATAAAGAAGAATCAATCAGAAATATTAAGAGATGAAAGACACAATGGAAGAAATACAACAAAATATGGATTCCCTGAACACTTGAGCAGACACCATAGAGAAGTGTATCAGCATAATCAAAGATAAACATGTTGAAATGCTCCAGATAGAGGAGGAGAGAGAACTAAGACTAAAAAGAAATGAAGAAAGTCTCCAAGAAATAGCCGACTCACTTAGGAAATGCAACATAAGAATTACAGGTATTCAAGAAGGAGAAGAGAAGGAGAATGGAGTAGAAAGCTTATTCAAAGAAATAATAGCAGAGAACTTCCCAAACCTAGGGAAGGAAATCCATGTGAAAAAGGCCACCAGATCTCCCAAATATGTCAATGTAAAAAGACTTACTGCAAGCCATATATTAGTGAAACTGGCAAAACTGAATGACAAAGAAAGAATACTAAGGGCAGCAAGGCAGAAGAAAATAACCTACAAATGAACCCCCATCAGACTTTCAGCAGATTTCTCTGCAGAAACCTTACAGGCTAGGAGACTGGAATAACATATTCA